AGGAGGGTGGTGGCTGGGGAAAAGGGGCTGAGGGCTGGCAGCCAGCAGCTAGATTCCTGTTCTCTCCTGGAACCGACAGTGGACTTCTCTTTGGCCCGGGGGATCGTTATAACTCAGAACACTTTCTGCAAAGTGTTCACAGTCACAGCAGGGAGCTGCACTTCTCTCTGCACCCACAGGGCACATCCCGATGAGTGGGAATGAGCATTTCCCCGGGCACAAGTAGCAGCGGCACACATTTGTGCCACTGCTACTTGTCCCCCCACTCTTCAGCACCAGCTGGGGAACCTGTAGAACAAGCTCCCTTTGCTCCCTTTCCCCGCTCCCATTCTGAAACAGAGGCAGTCTGGGAGAGAGGATGGGTGTTGCTAGGGGAAACTGGCTGCAGGCTAGCAGCCAGCAGCTAGATTCCTGTTCTCTCCTGGAACCGACAGTGGACTTCTCTTTGGCCCGGGGGATCGTTATAACTCAGAACACTTTCTGCAAAGTGTTCACAGTCACAGCAGGGAGCTGCACTTCTCTCTGCACCCACAGGGCACATCCCGATGAGTGGGAATGAGCATTTCCCCGGGCACAAGTAGCAGCGGCACACATTTGTGCCACTGCTACTTGTCCCCGGGCATGCCCATGCACATGCACTCTGGTGCATGACAAATTGCCCCTGATGGGATAGGGGAGGCTGGGGCCAGCACCTGGAATGGCCCCAGCAGCCTTATCTGGGGTCCTGGGGGTGTCCCAGGGCTGCAGCAATCATGATCCAGTGTAGAGCCTGGCCAGGCTCTGGTTTCAGTCAGCACATGCTGCAGCCATGTGCATCACCCTACTATTTTTTGGAGCAGTTTTTTTTTGACATATCCTCATGTCAAAAAGACCCACCACACTGCAAATTAGCGGTGAAGAGAATGCATACACATGGCATATGTGGTTTGTGGTGCTGCAGATGGGTTTGTGGTGCTGCAAACCACACGTGAGTGCTCATGGGGACACCCACAGTGTATATTATTTCTTCCACTGAGTATGGACAAATGTACATTTGAGCTGCCTCAGGAGAGGTGGCGGGACTGCTGCTTGCAAGTATACCACAGCTGTTACAAGTGTTATGTCTCACTGATACAAGATAAAATGATATTTGGGGGGCTGATATTCTTTTCTCTTGCATCTTTCCTAGGTCGTCATGGCTACAAGAGCACTCTACCACCACCACAACATTAGTGATGCAAATTAGTTAAACTGCCCTAATTTTGACCCTGGATGATGCAGAGTTAAAGTTAAAATGGTTTTGCTACATTTGTAGCAAATATGAATCATGGAGGCATAACAGTTCTATCATAACAGCTTGTATCAGTATCCTTTGATAGCTATACAGTTGTTACATATCTATACCCTTTATTTTCTTCTGTTTCTCCTATTTTCCCCTGTAAATCTCTATCTTTCTGGAATCTGATAGCTAGTTTCCCACCATCAGTCACTCAGATGCTTTTTGCTTTTATGGCCTTTTCCTTCCCACAGTTGTTCCATCGATTTACAATTTTGTGTGTTCAGGAAAACTGTAAGGAAATTAAAATATTAAAAGCAGTCTCCTGGATATTGCATCTAATATTAAGTAAGAATACTATTAAGTAAGCATGCACCATGCCTCTTGTATAAGCAGATACAAAAAGGGAGCAATAAAACAGGGTTGAAACAGGACTTTTACAAGGATGAAATGAGGGGAAAAGACTTAAAAAGCTACAAGGATGAAAGTCAACCTTTAAATATAATTTTTTAACACCTACAAGCAGAATTTAGTTACCTAAAATGATGCAATGAGATGCAAGCAACTACAGTATGAAGACTTTCCCCTATGGCTAAGTCAAGAAGTCCTTCTTTTCTTGCATATCTTTATTTTCTTTACTAATGAAACAAATACTGGTCACTTACCTGTGAATTATATGATATCTCTGCAAATAGTCCAGTGAAAGTGCCAGCTCACAAATATATAATTTAACCGTTCCTTCATTGAAATGCACATTCTGTTGTAAATGGTAGCGCAAATCCCCTCCAAGTAATAGATCTACCACCATGAACATGTCTTCTTCATCTTGAAATGAATACCTAAAGTAAAGAAATTATGAATACATAAATGAAACAGACCATTAAGTTTGATTTTATGAGATTTCCCTATAAAATACAAGACAGGGAAGCCATATGGCAGGATCACAATTGGATAACATGCAACCTCATTTTGACTGTGATAGCAGTTTGAAATAAAGATGGGCAGCAGAATTGGGCACAGGGTATATCATTTGCCATTTTGTTTGTTAGAAACTAACCATTACCTTCATTAATGATTCATTGGTGGACACTATTTAGAACTGTTTGGGCATTTATCCATTTTAATATGATTTTATTTTTTGAACAAATAGTCCTCTAGATAGCAGAAACAAAAATAAGGCTTATGATAAATGTTCTCAGTGGTCACATAAATGCAGCCATAAGAGGTGGACCCACATCTATAAAGAGAAGTGCTTTAACAAATTTGGTCCTTTAAATGTTTGAGGTACATTCTGCTTTCCACATGTACACATACAAGTCCAATTAAGGCAAATATACCTGATAATTTATAATGTGGTCATAAATTCACTTGGCAAAGAAAAAAGAAAACAAGAATTATATTAAGCATCATTATGGATTTTTTTGAAAATACATTTGATATTTTATAAAGTGACAGAGTCTTGATGGTCCCTGACTGAATTCTCTTGGATGTTTTCCAAGAAGCCCTTGTTGAAAACTCAGAGGACCAACTTCTACACTTATAAATCCAAAGGTATAGCCCACCAACTTATAATGTGCTTATTACCTGGGCAAAGGGGAAATTTCCATGTGTTTCTATTTATTATGACAGCTCTGCCATTGCTATATTTTATTCTGAATACAGAAAATGTGGGAGCAACTTACTGGTTTTAAATGTTGAATGGAATATTTTTCTTTCAAATGCAGAAATGGTGAATACCTATTTTTTTAAAACTATAATAAAAGTCCATATTGAAAAATGATTTTAGAATGGACTTTGATGAAACAACGTTAATTTACAGCAGCTGTGAATCTGACACAGACAAGCAAACTCCTGTGATAATACATCTTTCAACACATTACCCTGCACAGTGTGTAAAGCTAGGTTCTGTACAAAATTCAGTGCGGTTCCTTTTAATTTCTCACTGTCCTTAAAAAATATGCTACAGAAACAAAGAATAACTAGTTTAAAAACTCACACCAATAAGGAGGCAGAAAGGCCGATATTAGATTATTTTAATTGACAGCTTTATACAGTTTCACATCTATTCCCAGGCTCACACTTTTGGAAATAAGGCACTGTTCTGGGGTTGTCACAGATGGTTCATTTTGAATTTAACCATTTTCAATTCTTTTAGAACACAAGTCTGAGAAACATGCGTCTCTGGGTTGCAGTTCTGCATCTGCCAAATGGCAGGGGAAAAATCCCTATTTATTTGCATTATATTTATTTATTGATAAGTCAAATCTTTGAAGGAAGATAAGAAAGAAGAATGGTGCATGGTGTGTACTTACCCCTAGAGACTTAGCCCATCTAACAAAAGAAATAAAAAGCTTCAATTCTGATCAAATATATTGTGTTTCTTGTTATTGAACTTGGAACTCTCAAAACTGAGGGCCAAATATCTGGTTGATGTTTAAGAATGATCGTTTTTTTTTCCTTGAGGTATTCTCAAAGGCCCATAGCAGATGTTACATGTCAACATGTTATATATAAGAACTGCATGACAAATCATAACATGCAAACTATCCAACGTTAACATTATCGCAGGATACTTCCACACCACAAAGAGGTTGCTGTTTCAAAGAGCATCTTCTTTGGGGCTGATTCACCACTAATCATAAACTGGTTTCATGTCTGGCATGTTACAATTTGTCATGCAACACTTGCATATAACATGCAACAAATAAAATGGCTGCTGGGGGCCTAGCTATAACTAGTTGTAGCTAAAAGCAAATATAATGAGAGAAGTGAACCATCCGTTATTTCTTCCATGAAACTTGACTTGAGTAAAGTGTGATATTTATAAATTTAAAAATGTATCATAGATTCATAGAATTCATAGAAGTAGGGTGGAAGGGACCTTGTAGATCATCAGGTCCAACCCCCTGTCCTGGGCAGGAGAGAAAACCGGGCTCAAATGACCCCAGCCAGGTAGATGTCAAGCTGCCTCTTAAAGACCCCCAGGGTAGGAGCCAGCACCACTTCCCTTGGAAGGAAGGTATTAAAAGGAACCCTAAGATAAAATACAGATAGCAATTCCTTGGTTAAATATCATTTGTTTGGTTAAACTGGAGAAGTCCCATGCTCGCAAGAATCACTTGATTGGATCTTGGTAGAATTCATTATGACAGGGCTTTGCCATCCATGGGGGGATGCCCTGAGGTCACTTCCCTAAAGATGTGGGCACTGGTTGGTAGAAGGTGGGTTCATAGGTATTATCATAAAATGCATTTGCTGACATATGGGCTTGATTATAACATTCGGCATCCATCCAGGAAAAAGAATGAATGAATTGTGTGTGTAAAACTATGGTGGATGAAAAATGGATCTGAAGAATACTAAAAAGAAACAAACCAGGTTGGCTCTGAGCAAGAAATGGCAAAAATCCCATTAACTTCAGTGAGACTATGGCTTCACCCTAAATATGCAATTCAGCTTGCATATTCTGGTTTTCTGTGAAATCTGAATGAAAAAAGCATTGCTTAGCAGTCTTCCAATCCTGTACTTGGTGCATCCACTAGGAAACATGGATAAGTGAATCTCCACATATCAAAAAGGGACACAGAAAATTTTGCACAAACAATGCCATATAAATGCTAAATGTAGAATTAAGGCCTAGCTATATAATTTTCTCACATTGATTTATCTTACTCTGAGTAGTTTCACTGAACTCACCCTGCATCCAGATCTCATCCAGACAGACTGAATTTACAAAAGAAGCCTTTCAGAGATTCACAACTTTGGTTAATACTTCACTTACAGGTCCCTCTGCATGACACAATTGGAAGTGGAATGCTTAATCGAGGCAACAGAGCCGGGGGCTGCTCCAGCTCCATAACGGCCTGACTTGCACCACAGCCGAAAGGGACCTAGGGGTAACGACTGATCATCACATGAACATGAGCCATCAGTGCAAGGTCATGGCCAGCAGGGAAAACAACACTCTGGCATGCATCGACTGATACATCTTGTGTAAAACTAAGGAAATGATACTCCCGCTGTATTCAGCACTGGTGAGACCACAGTTGGAGTACTGCGTCCAGTTCTGGGTGCTGTACTTCAAGAAGGATGTGGAAAAACTTGAGAGGGTCCAGAAAAGAGCCACCCGTATAATCAGGGACTTGCAAGGCAAACCATACCGAAGGACGTGGGCCTCTTTAGCCTAAAGAAGAGAAGGTTGAGAGGGAACTTAATAGCAGCTTAACGCTATATCAGAGGTGTGCATCAGGAGCTAGGGCACCCCTGGGGAAGACTAGGGCCAATGGATATAAACTCCTGGAAGGCCACTTCAGGCTTAATACCTGGAAAAATTCCTTCACATTCCGGGTGTCCAGACTGTAGAAGAAACTCCCTCCAGTGGTGGTGCAGTCACCTACCCTGGAGGTTTTCAAGAGGAGACTGGATAGTCACCTCGCTGGGGTCACTTGACCCCAATTGTCTTCCTGCCTAAAGTGGGGAGGCTGGACCCGACAATCTGCGATGTCCCTTCCAGCCCCTAACAATGTATGAATCTAAAACTAGAAAAACAGGCTACAAACAAATCCAACCCTTGACAGCCTCAATAAAGTCCTCTTCAGTGATCCCTTTCCACCAGTGGCCAGATTCTTATTTCACCTACACTGTTGTAAATCTAGTAGTAACTTGATGACATAAACAGAAGTGCTCTGGATGAGTACTGTACTCGACCTCTGAGCTTCACGGGTATGTGACTATCAGGAAGCTTTGGCAACTCACCTTACATATCTGAGCCTGTGAAGATGCTAGGAATGAAAGAGACATGATAGATGGCAAGAAGAAGTAGGCATTCTCTTTGGCAGTCTATTTCTTTTCACGGGCCATGTGGCAGGTTCATGCTCTAGGGGCAGCTGTGATGCCCCCTGGTGATCATGTGACTTCTGCCTGGTCAGTCTCTGTTACAGCCCTACCTTGATTACTTGCCCACCACACCGTGTTCTTACTAGAGGATGAATAAGAGAGGCTGCCCACAGGCCTTAGAGTGAGCTTTAGTCTATTTGCAGTACCACTGGGTCTCTCCTGGACCCCCAGTATCCTTTACTTGACCCTTAAGCTCAATGGGCCCTCTCGGCCAGCCTGTTTCCCTGCAGGGCACCTGTAGCTTCAAGAGTTACATGCAAATCTGTGCCCTTCCATGGCACCCGTAACCTTAAGGGCTCAATGCATGGCTCTGTTCCACGCCCAAAGCCTCGTGGGTGTTCTCTCTCTTTGATATTACCTGTTTGTATACTTGGCCCCCTTGGGCCCTCAAACGTCCTGGTCCCCTATGTACTCTCACTCTGAACTCCCGGACCCCTGGTCCCTCACGCAACACCTCCTCTGGGGTCTTGGACTCCTGATCCCAAACACAGCCCCTCCTCTGGGCTCTCAGACCCTCTAGTCTGACTTAGCCCACTAAGGACTTGTGGACCCTCTGGCCCAGCTCAGCCCTTCCCTAAGCATGTGGACCTCTGGTCCAGATCTCAGCCTTTTCCTAGGCTCCCCAGACAAAACAGAAATTCACTGTTGGTTCCAAGGGGGAAGGGAAAATGGCTGCTGGCTGGGAGCCTGCAGCCAGTTTCCCTGAACAATAGCCCCACCTTGCTCCGAGTCTGTCCCTGTTTTCAGAATGGGAGTGGGGAAAGGGAGCACTGGGAGCTTACCCTCCATACCCTCCCAGGAGTGTGCACTGAAGTGGGGAGCCAGCCACCGCCCCTCCCCACCCCGAAGAGCCACTCACGGCTCCGTCCCACTCCCCACCTGGGCACTGAGGCCATGCATTCTGGCCCTGGGCCCCATGTGCCACCCCAGCTGGGCAGCAGGCCCAGCCCTGCCCAACAACCTCCACCCATCCCTCCCTCACTGTGGTGGCCTCAAAACCCCTGCTCCTCCTTACCTTCCCCTCCCCACCTCCCAGACTTACCTTAGGAGCTGCTCACCAGGCTGTCTGGCAGCTATGTGCATGTGTGAGCATGCATATGCACACGTTGCCCCCTGTATGATCACCCTCCTCCTGCTCCCCATAGCCCCTTGCAGGCTGGAACTCTGCCAGTCTGCAAGGAGAAAGCCAGAGTTTCCCACGTTTTTCTCCTTAAAATGAGAAAATCTGTGTTCTACCACATTTTTCCATGGCAAACAGAAAACCCAAATCCCTGGTCATGGTTATAAACCACATTCTGTGGACTAACTCGGTGAAAATTATCACTTCTGTCTGCACCCTTTAAGTTGTTATTAACTGGTTAATCTAATCTTAACTGTAATGTGTCTGAAGGCCAGCCGTTTGCATTGCTGGAGTAGTGCAAAGAAGAGAGTTACCTCCTACCTCTACCCAAACTAATGACTAGGTAATTAGACTATATAGCAACTTTCTCCCAAATATGAATCAAACTTTATCCCAACTATGAAATTTTGTCCATTAAAAAATAATACTAAAAAATCCTCACCATATAGCAACTTCTAAACTTCAATGGATTTTAATTTTAATGGTTAAAACCCAATTCTTTCCGTGATGCTTTTCCCATGAATAAACCAAATATTCTTTTTTGCTACAAATGAAGTGTTCTCTTTTAACGCCATTCAATTTGACATTTTATGAAGCCAGTGATTTTGATTTATTGTTGTATGAGCTGAAGTTGACAGGAAATGAAATCATGGCCACCTGAAGGAATTTTTGAAAATAGTTATGCAGCCTTGGAAGAATCGGGGAGGGGCTCCTGGCAAATCAGGCAAGTGGAGATTAGGTCTTTGAGTAGGCACTGTAATTTTACTTCAGTAAGCTTCTTATCTACTCAAAGGCAAATGACATGCAAACAGGCTGATTGATTCCAAAACAAAATCAGATGTTGTTTTTGACTCTTATGTTTACCAGGTAGCCAGGGAATACCTTACTGTCTGAATTACTAGTTGTGACTAACGCTACATGTCATTGTACTGAGCAATTGTAAAACACATTTTAAATTCATCCAGAAATGAAAGAGTAAATTACTTGTTCGTTTTCTTTGTATCCAAATTTAAAAAAAAAGAAGTGGTACCATAAAGCAGTCAAAGAAAAATATTTCTAATTACAGAACTATGTTCTGCTTTCTCTTGCTTGAAGAAAAGTTTTAATGCACTATAATCAGCTTTAACTGAATTAAGATAAAGTAATAATGCCTTTAGCAACTGTGAATTGCTTTAACTTATGGGTAATTTTTATACTGGAAGACATACGATTTTGTTCAATGCGTTACAGAAACCAGCCTAAACAAAACACCATCCAAACAAGTTGACACCTATTTTCAGAGTCATAAAGTATTTTACTTATGTGTGTGTTTTAAAAGTTGTAAGGAATTTTAAGGAATTCAGATTTTTTTTGGTGAATTTATATTCCATAGCCTTGGTTAGCCATTAGGTATATTTAGTTTTAAATCTTACCAAAATCTAACTCCAAATTCTGTTTCTCATGATATATTTTCTTCTTGAAGAGAACACAATATTCAGTAGCCTGGACTACTACCTGTCCAATGGTCATGATGTGCTGCACCGCAAAGATTCCCCCCACCCCCACAGCTGGAGTTCCCCACCTCTGATACCACTGAGGCCTCTACCAGATGGAGTCCATGGCTCCAGCCTCATAGAATCATAGAAGTAGGGTTGGAAGGGGCCTTGTAGATCTTCAAGTCCGCCCCCCTGCCTGGGCAGGAGGAAAACTGGTCTCAAATGACCCCAGCCAGGTAGGCATCAAGCCTCTTCTTAAAGCCCCCCAGGGTAGGAGCCAGCACCACTTCCCTTGGAAATCGGTTCCAGATCCTAGCCACCCTAACTGTGAAGTAGTTCCTCCGGATGTCTAATCTAAACCTACACTCCAACAACTTGTGGCTGTTATTCCTTGTTATCCTGGGGGGCGCTAGGGGAAGCAAGGTCTCCCCCAAACCCTTCTGGTCCCCCCTAGTGAGTTTATAGATTGTCACCAGGTCCCCCCTCAGCCTTCTCTTGTGAAGGCTGAACAGGTTCAGGTCCCGTAGCCTCTCATTGTAGGGTCTGCCCTGCTGTTTCCAGATCATGCGGGTGGCCCTCTTCTGGACTCTCTCAATGTTGTCCACATCCCTCTTGAAGTGGGGTGCCCAGAACTGGACACAGTACTCCAGCTGTGGCCTGACCAGTGTTGCATAGAGGGGGAGGATCACCTTCTTGGACCTACTTGAGATGCACCTGTGGATGCACGATAAAGTCCGGTTAGCCCTGCCGACCGTGACCTCGCATTGTTGGCCCATGTTCATCTTTGAGTCAATGATGACTCCAAGATCCCTTTCTGCCTCCGTGCTCTCAAGAAGGGAGTTTCCCATCTTATAAGTGTGCTGCTAGTTATTACTGCCCAAGTGCAGCACCCTGCACTTGTCCATATTGAAATGCATCCTGTTTTTGTTAGCCCACCCCTGCAACCTATCCAGATCTTGCTGTAGTCTTTCCTTCCCTGCTAACGTGCCCACCTCACCCCAAATTTTGGTATCATCAGCAAATTTGAACAGGTTGCTTTTCACCCCATCGTCCAAATCGCTGATAAAGAAATTGAACAGTGTGGGCCCAAGGACTGAGCCCTGGGGCATTCTGCTACCCACTTCCCCCCAGGTCGAATATGACCCATCCACCACCACCCTCTGAGTACAACCCTTCAGCCAATTTGCAATCCATCTGACTGTGTAGGCATCAATGCCACAGTCGCCTAGTTTTTTAATGAGGATGGGGTGGTCAACAGTGTCAAAGGCCTTGCTGAAGTCCAGAAAGACTACATCCACGGCGACACCTGCATCCAATGCTTTTGTGACCTGATCGTAAAAGGCAATCAGGTTGGCCTCCACCCAGACACAACCCTGGCTGTCAACTGTGGGGGCTGGCTGGCATGAATGCAGGAAACTAAGATCAGGAGCAAGGACACCTCTCCTTGTGGGGTGTGCTCCACATTAAAGTCCCTGGAGTGCCAGATAGGGGAGCTCCAGGCTGCTGTGCAGAGGCTGCATGCCATCAGGGAGGGCAAAGAGGAGACTGATGCCTATTACCAGGCTCTTCGCCTGAAGAATGAGGAGGGAAGAGCAAGGAAGTCTAGCAGGATGAGGGTGTACAAGAGGAGCCCCTGTGAAGTCCAACAGGGGTTTGCTTAGAAAAAGGTCATCTCCAACCCCAAGACACCCTGTGCCAGGGTCACCACTACCATGGAACTTCACAACAGATACAAACCCCTAGCAATATCAGCAGAGCCAGCAAAGCTGCCAACTCCAGCACTTGAGGAAGGAAGGCGACCAGCAACTATACCTAGGAAAAGACGCAGAGTGGTCATTGTGGGAGACTCCCTCTTGAGTGGGGCAGAGGGACTGATCTGCTGCCCTGGCCCCTTAGTCTGTGAAGTCTGCTGCCTCCCAGGGGCCTGTATCCAGGATGTAGCTGAGAGAATCCCTAAACTCATCCAACCCTCTGACCACTGCCTCATCCATGTGGGCTCAAATGACATGGCTCAGAGCAATCCCAGCCAAATCATGAGTGATTACAGGGCTCTGGGGGCTCAGAGGGTTGGGGGCACAGGTGGTTTTCTCCTCAATCCTCCTGGTTACAGGTCACAGGCACAGAAGGGAGAGATGTATCAATGAAGTAAACAGAAGACTGAGGCACTGGTGTCCCTGTGAAGGCTTTGGCTTCCTCAATCACAGTCTGCACCTCAGAGACAGAGGCAGGGGTCTTGGGAAGAAATGGCCTCCACCTCACCCCAGTGGGAAAGAAGCTTTTTTTGACTGGATTGGCTGACCTGCTTAACAGAGCTTTAAACTAAGGGGGACAGGTGGACAACCATCGGAGCAAGCCCAGGAAGTGACAAACATATAATCAGCAGGTCGGGAAATACAACCGTACTTACCTCAACCCCAGCCCAAGGACGGGACTCTCCTAAATGCACAAAAAAGCCAAGAGCTTCTGATGGCAGGCTTAGCTGCCTGTACACAAATGCAAGGAACATGGGGAACAAACAGAAAGAACTGACTCTTCTCCTAAGCAATAACAAACATGATTAATAGGGATAAAGGACACCTAGTGGGACTCCACTTATGACTGGACCACAGGTATAGATGGCTATACCTTGTACAGGAAGGGTGGGGGTGTATCTCTATGTCAAGGAACAGTACACTTCCCAACTAGCTGACATTGGCACCCAAGGAGGGTGAATCAAAACCCTCTGGGTTAGAATATGGGGAGAAGATGGTGAAGGGGATGTTACTGTGGGAATCTATTACAGACCTCCTAACCAGGAGAAAGAACCTGACCACGAATTCTCTAGGGAACTAACAGAGGCTGAATGCTCTCAGTGCATGGTTATCATGGGTGATTTTGACCACCCTGACATCTCATGGGAAGAGCATTCAGCTAAATCTGATTGGCTGGGCAGCTTCCTTACCTGGTCTATCTGACTCAAGAAATCCATGGGCTGACAAGAGGTGAGGTGCTGTTAGATCTGGTTATGGCCAAAGGGGATGATCTATGAGTGACCTGAAGATTGCAGGGAAGCTTGATGACAGTGATCACAAGTTGATCACTTTCTCTATCCATCACAAAGATGGCATATCAGTCAGCAATGCAGAAATCCTTGAGTTCAGGAAAGCTGATTTTCATAAGCTCAGGAGGTTGGTTGTTGAGGCCCTGAAAGATCATGATCTGACAGGGAAGGAAGTCCAAGGTGAGTAGTCACTCCTTAAGGATGTGATCTTAAAAGCACAAAGGAAGTTCATTCCGACCCATAGGAAAGGTAGTAAAGGGCTGGGAAACCCCCTTGCCTCATTAGGAAACTCATGGACCTCCTGAATCTTAAAAGACAAACCTATAAGGCTTGGAAGACAGGAAATACCTCTAAGGAGGACTATGCATCACTGGCCCGCAACTTTAGGTAGTGGACCAGAAAAGCCAAGGCCAAAACTGAGCTCAAACTGGCTACAGGAATCAAGGACAAGAAAAAGTCCTTCTTCAGATATGTGGGAAGTTGAAAGAGAAATAAAGGCAACATTGGACCCCTGCTAAACCAAATGGGGCAACTAAGGAACACCCAGGAAAAAGCTAATCTCCTTAATGATTACTTTGTGTCAGTTTTTCACCAGCCAAAGGAGATCACCCTGCCTGGCAGGATACAGGATTATGAGGTTACAGGTGACCACATGCCTACATTTGGCAAAGACCTTGTGAAGGAAAACCTTGAGAGGCTGGACATTAATAAGTAAGCAGGCACTGATGAAATGCACCCAAGAGTGCTAAAAGAGTTGGCTGACATCATAGAATGACAAATGGCAAGGATATTTGAGAACTCATAGTGCTCGGGACAGGTTCCTGAAGATTGGAGGAGGGTCAATGTGGTGCCTATCTTCAAGAAAGGAAGGAAAGAAGATCCAGGGAACTACAGGCCAATCAGTTTGACCTCAATCCCTGGAAAGATTATGGAAAAAATTATTAAAGAATCCATCACCAATAGAGTGACAGAAGGCATCATCCTGAGACAGCCAACATGGCTTCATTATGGGTAGGTCATGCCTGACCAACCTCATCTCTTTCTATGACCAGGTGACACATCACCTGCACAGGGGAGAAGAGGCTGATGTCATTTACTTGGATTTCAAAAAAGTTTTGACTTGGTGTCTGATGACAAAATTGGGGAACTGCAGCCTCGATAACCTTACAGTCCAATGGCTGGGGAACTGGCTCCATGGTCGAACCCAGAGAGTGAAAGTCAATGGAACTGAGTCAACCTGGTGCATGGTGACCAGTGGTGTCCCCCAGGGCTCCGTACTTGGACCAGTACTCTTTAACATATTCATAAACAACCTGTATTTGAGTGTCAGAAGCAGACTGGCTAAGTTTGCAGATGACACCAAATTATAGGGAAGCATGGTTACACTAGAGGATAGGCTGGGGATTCAGGCCAATTTGGATAGGCTCACAAAGTGAGTATCAAAACCTGATGACTTTCAACAGAGAGAAATGCAAGGTGCTCCACCTTGGGAGAAAGAACCCACATCATACCTATAGGCTCGGCAGTGTTACACTATGACTGAAAGAGACTAGGGGGTCATGACTGACCACAAGATGAATATGAGCCACAAATGCGATGCCACAGCTATCAAAGCAAATAAAATCCTGGCTTGCATCGACCGATGCATCTCAAGCAAGACCTAAGATGTCATCCTCCCACTTTATTTGGCCTTGGTGAGACCACAGCTGGAGTACTGCATCCAGTTCTGGGCTCCACACTTTAGGAAGGACATGGAGAAGCTTGAGAGAGTCCAGAGGAGAACCATGTGCATGATCAGAGGTCAAGAGAGGAGGCCTTATGAGGAGAGGCTGAGAGGCACGAGACTTTTCAACTTGGAAAAGCATAGGCTCAAGGGGGATTTGGTGGTAGCTTATATTGGGGTGTGCATCAGGATCTGGGAGAACATCTGTTCACTAGGACATCCCGAGGGAAGACAAGGTCCAACAGTCACAAACTGCTGGAAGACCATTTTA